AAGCAAACACATGTCCACTCCTAACTAGTGGGACCTCATGGGAAGACAGGGACAAGTTTGGGTTTTGTGTTTTTCTTAAGAAACATTGGCCTGGCATTTGTCTGCCTCCATCATCATCCGTAGTACTTCTTTCTTCTGCCACCCACATTTCCATTCACCGATTTGTTCAACCTCAAAGGGGGAAGATGACTAACACAAATGCACTCATTGTCCACGCTGTAATAGAATTAGGAACCTCAATACACCTCCTGCATTTTAATGAGGTTTGTCATATGGTGCTGTGCGGTTGTCCACTTCTCTCCTAGTTATTCTTAAGACTGTTTTGAGTGCAAGATCAGGGTTTTTTAAGCTCACAAATGCAATGCACTCAGTCCTTGAATGTGAAGGTTGTGGCCCAATGAGAGAAGTGCTGGAAGAGTGACATTTTAAGTTCACACTTAATTCTCACTGATGTTTTTGTGAGTAAGAGAAGGGAAGAAGACATAGTATCACAACTCTAACTCTGCAGTCAGCCCTTTCAACTGGAGATGCTCAGGGTACATTGCCATATTTTCTTAAAGCACATATGGGTCCTACAGGAAAAAAGAACTAGAGGCACTGCTTCATGGGGAGAGCTTCTTTCATTTTGTTTTCCATGGAACTTTGTACACTTATCTCAGTTTGCAATAAATGCTTTATCAATTTATAGGAACTCTCAATAATAAAGATTTGCAGAGTTTGAAGCCATAGGTGTTAAGAAGCTACTCCTAGGAAATATATATGAGGCACAACACAACAGAAAAATTCATTCTTCTGACACCTTTTTCATTAGTTTTTTTAAGTCCTGTTGCTCATGAAAAGGCATATACTGATATCCATGAGAAGATGGAAAGCTTAGTTTCACTGAAGTCAATGTATTCTCCTTGGAGATGCAAGCCCATGGGGTCAAATCTTTTAAGCCTTCACAGAATATCCGTGTCAACTAGCAAGAGTCCCCTTAGGGCTCTGGGTAAGTAACACAAGTTCTGGGGTGATGCAGCACTCACAGCATATAGGTCTTGCTGCCTGGCTGCCTGGCCCTACACTTCCTCATACATCCCAACCCAGACGTAGGTGCCTCAGCTTGGTACTCAGCCTGCGATAACTTATATCTCTAGTACAGGCAACACTGCATACCTCATTCACCACATCTTGGCACGTATTCACGGATCACTGTCTTGTATATTTAATTTTATGCAAGTACTTCAGTGTTTACTAAGTGTTAGATATTGATTTAGCCCAGGTTTTTCAGTGTACTAGTTGGCATTTTATATATTTGTTACTGCTGACTAACAGAAGCTTTTTTTTTTAATTGCTTTTTCAGTTACATATATTTCAAAAAGACTACACATATGAGCAAAGTAAGCAGTCTGTAGTATGAAAACAAAGCAAAGCAAATTTATTACTGTAAAACCAAATGGGATCTGAGTTAGAAATAAACAGGAGGATCATCTAGCCATTCATAGGCTTCCTCAAGCTCCATATTCTGATCTGTTACTTCACTTCTATCCATACATTTTTGTGTGCCATGCACATGAGTCCAGGACTCCCTGTTGCTCTGATTCCATGACTCTGTGTCTGCTGGTTTCTGCACAGTGTCAACAGAAGCAAAGAAAGGCAATGCAGAACAGACTTTCAGGGCTTCCACATGTGTTTTGGTAACAGTGAGAACCTAACAATTAATTTTTCTGTCTCCCTGTCTCTAGCTCCCCACGAGCTGTCATGCACACTTGCAGAAACAGTCAGTATTTAGACACAGTACGTCATCAGGAGCTGCACTTGAAGATTTATCTCTGCAATTAATTAAGACTTTACTCTTTCCAAATGTAAAATAGTAGGATCTGGAGCTCACTAGTAAACACATTTGCTCCTGAATTCAGTATTTTGTCTTTGCAAGAGGTTACATTTCCACATTCTCTGATTCAAGCATATGTAGATACAAAACTCTGCACCAAATTTTAGAGGTTGGTTTAAACTTGCCAGGACTGCAACACAAACACATTCGTAATTGCTGTCAGCTTGAAGCAATGCCTGGCCTACCAACATTAGCTAATTTTGAGGTGCAGAGACACTACCAGGTACTGCTGATCAAAAACCTTCACAGTGTTTTCCATTCTCTTTGTGTATCAAGGTAATGGTGCTGAAGTGGTCTTTTAGTTGGAGCTTACCATCAGCTGTGGGCAAATAAAAATTACATAGTTAAGATTTTGATTTTAGGAAGTTTTCTGTTACAATTTAGGAAACACGTAAACAAAGCCTTGGGCTTAAGCCAGCCTGGTGTCAGGGTTTCATAAACGCTTGGTGAAACAGCAAAGGAAAAGTGAAGCAAATGGCAAGAGCATCAGCAAATGAGCTGGCCAATGTTTCTGAGGGAACTTTGTTTCACTGGATTTTTGTCTCATGTGAGGGTCCCTGGCGTTTAGAAAAATATTTAGAAATGTATTTAGGATCATCAGCCCACTACACTGAAGATTTGCTATGGAAGTTAATATGTATATAGTGTGTAAATATAGTATAGATATTATATTCCTGAGTAATAACTTCAGGTAGCATTGGCCCACCTGTTTGATTAGGGCTGAACTGGAATATAGGGCACATACAATATGAATTGTGTCCCAACACAGTACTGAATGTTCCACTCCATTTCTAGAAATTTCTTTCCAGCATCAGCTCCATAGCAGTCCCCTTAAATCTTTGTTACATTTAAGAACCACCATGCTAGGGTAGAAAATGAGCTATATTTTCTCCAGATATATCTCCAGCTGCAGCTTCTTGAGCATTTGTCACTTCCTTTGACTGGAATAGATCTAAAATTGTTTCGGGTTTTTTTAATCTAATTAAGGTGATCAGCAAATGGGACTCAGAAAAGAGAAGGAAGTTTCAAAACTGACTCTTGCAGTCTTAGGTTTTGATGCTGCTTTTCCAAAGATTGGTAGCAGTGGCTGACACCTTCCAATTATTGAAACTGTTCAGCTTCCAACTGTCTTTAAGATTCTCATACACTACTGACAACATCTTAGCTTTTTTAGATCAAGCTGCTTAGGGTTATTACCAAAATAACTACAAAATGTTTTGTAAATAAGTTTTCATTTGACCAGAATAATCACTAATACTTGAGCATAAAAGCCCAGATGGCTGCATACACTCAACTTTTCTTCTTCAAGACAAATATTTCAATTTCAACATAAGTTACTTCCACATTGCTGACACTATATTCCAGTAGTTAAATGACTGCAAAACTATTGTAAAATCTGATAACTACAATAGGCATTATAATAATGCATATTTCTCTATGCCCATACCTCTAGAGTAAGTAAAGTTTTCCCAAAATGTAAAAAATATGTACTGCTTTCTTAAGTGTGCAGACTGAAAAAATCTAAGCAAATTGGCAGTTACTTCAATGGTAAGGCTCAGATTAGTGTAATTTACTCTTTTAAATTATTGATTTTAACGTGAATTCCGCATAATACAGGAGCATGCCTTTCCCCAGTACAAATTCACCAGTAAAAAGGACCATTCAAAAAGCAGAGTTCTGCAGCTGCATGTTTTATTTCTTAAAATAAAATGGATAAAATGATGGCTGAAGCAAAGCTGTGAAGAAGATGGGCTTGGAAAATGTGAGAGAAGCAAAGAGTGGCAGCATTACTGCCTTGGAAAGCTTCCTCTAAGCACATGTAAGGTGGCATAGATATGGGGGGAGGAAAGGAAGGGAGGGGAGAGATGCTGCACTAACTCTCCCAGTACTGCTCACCTTGTTGAGATGAATTGTTTGTAGATCAAAACACACATGTAAATCTTGGCTTCTCTGTTCCATCTGCAGAAAGGAAGCAGGCAATGTCAGTGGACAGCAATGATGTATTCAGACAACTAACATTTAAACAATGGCTGCTTACAAATCATAAATCTTCAGCAATCCTACAAAGGGGAGAAAAATAAAAAACCCAAACAAAAAAAAACACAATTATGCAAAAGACTGAGCTTCATTTGTGCAGTGAATATAGAGATTTTGTGCATAGCACCTGTAGTTAGTCCTAGTATTAATATGAAGGGTACACCACAAATAATGATCTCCCTGAGGAGCCGGCTCCTCTAGAAAGCTGAATAAAACGCTGTTTGCAGATGTTTTCAGATATCTTAATTTCTCAGCTACAGCTTTGTCTCAAGGTGGTGAATGTCAGAAGAAGAAGAATGTGAAAAACTTAGAAAGCAAAAAGTTGTAGAGGTAAGGAAGAAAATAGGAAGTGTAGATGAGGAGAAAGAGGAGATGGTTCAAAAAACAGGAGAAAACAGTTGAGAAGGTGGCACAACTGCCTCTCTGAGAGACTGAAAACCACAGAGAGGAAAAGAAAGAACTTCAGAGAAACTGGGTGATATAGGAGTAAATACAGGTGCACATAGGAAAATACAAGACCATGAGAAACCACTGCAAGGAAAGAAAAAAGAAGAGCATTCAGAAAACATACATGACAGAAGATGCACTTAAAGCAGAAAGTGTAAATTATTAAGTGTTAAATTATTAAAATGATGTTTAGTTTTAGGAATTGTAGAAACAGGTAAAGACAGGTGAGTAGGAAAGAAAAGAAATTGAGGGCAGCAAAAAGGAAAGAGCTGGTTTGGGATCACTTCCTAGAAAATTGGATGCTAAAACTTCATATAAAAATCCCATGTAAATAAGAGTATTTTTTAATTGAGTCTCTCACATCTCAGTGCTTGCAGGCTGGAATTCTGCATCCTCATTATGAAATCTTAAGAGTATTACTGAGGAAGGCTGCTGCTCTGCAACACTGTGTGTCCCATGTCTTATTTAAGTGTTTCCAAGTAATAAACAGGAATCCCATTTAGCATTGTTTGGATTGTACAGAGGTTAACTGCATGTGAAACAGACACCTTCCAGAGCCTACATCAAGGCAGAGGCATGTGTGCTGTGATCCTGTATTGTTGTTATACCTGTGAAACTTACTCATATTTGTTGTACATACATGTTGTACTCATGCTTCTCTTTAATCTTGGAAACAGGTGGCATCATTGCTAGGAGGCAGCAAGGATGAATAGGTCATGATCTAAAGAAACAAGAAAATAAAATGCAAAGGGAATTAATTTTAAATGGTATGAAATAATCCAGAAATCTCAATAGGGGTTTTATACTCTTCTTTATTACAGATTGCATGAAGATAATTCAGAAGATATACACTGGCAGGCAAAGAAATGGTTTGTATTTCTTAGGGGAAGATGTACAGAATAACTAAGCATCACATTCTAAAAAGGTAGTGTAATGATATAATTAACTGAAATTTTGTCACACATTTTTATTATCGTATAATTGTATAATGTCACACACAATTATATTATTGTATAATTCCCTACTAACTCTACCATTTTTGATATCTTCATTGCATCTATTTTTCCATCAGATATCCTTCTAGAGCATACACAGAAAGTATGAGAGGGTCATATGTATTTCAGAGTGACTGCATTAATCAGTTTGGAAGTGATGTGAACAGCTAGATCAATTTTTCTTTTATTCCTTACGTTTTCTCCTTCAGGAGAAGAACTATTCCATTTTAGTTACGCCACAGTTTTTAAAATTATGTTTTTTCTTAGTGTTTCTTCAGACCTGTATATCAGCATGAGCTACAACGAATAGCAATATTCTGGTGTGAGTTTGTTGTAAAGTCTGGCACTCAGTCAATTCTGCTTCATATTGTAAAATGGTGTTAAAGATAACAAAACTACAAATATGAGTTGACAAGTAGCAGACCCATTATTTTAATGCCCAAGATTCACCTGTCAGAAGCTGCTCTAGCCCATCCACCTGCAAAACCTCATAGGTATCGAATTTTCAGTAAACACATGTGTACACATTAACATGTGTTAATTTGTTTCTATATTTTCGCCTAGTTTCAAACTCAGTTAAAAGATATTAATGAAATTTTGCAGGCATATTGAATGTCTTTGGGGTTTTTCAAGACTTTTTTTTTATTGGTCAGCTGAGTGGTTTAAAACAGGAAACTGAATTGTATGTTATTCCCCATGTAGCATACTACCTAGTTCTTTTGTAGGCAAAAAATACTGGATTAAAATCCAAAGATATTCTTTCTTTCCACTCAAAGACAGCCTGTGTTTTCCTCCTCCCACAACCATTTTATGCTGTCAGGTTGGGTACAAGTTTCAAAACTTGTAAAAGATACAGAGAGGATGTATACAGGATATATACAGGATACAGGTTGCTCAGAGAAGCTGTGGCTGACCCATCCCTGGAAGTGTTCAAGGCCAGGTTGGACGGGCTTAGAGCAACCTGTGCTAGTGGAAGGTGTCCCTGCCTGGGCAGGGGGTTGGAACTGAATGAGCTTTAAGGTCCCTTCCGACTCAAAGAGCTATTGAGTAGTTGCAGTACTGGTCACAGGAACTGAAACTTCTGCAGTGCTTGTCACCAAAGTTTGAACATCCACCTTACCTGAGCTGGAGTTTGAGTGGCTGCAGTTCTTGTTCTGGGCATAAAACTAACTTGGATGACTATTTCTCGAGTTTGAGTAGGTATGGTCCTGGTCACTGGAGTTTGAGTAGCCACAGTGTTTTTTGCGGAGCCTGAAGCGACTCCAGTGCTTGTCACTGGGGCTTGAGTAGCCATAGCTCTTGCTACTGGGACATTAATAGCTGTAGCACGTGTTACAGGGATTGAAGTAGCCAAACTCCTTGTCAATGGAGTTTGTGCCCCTCTTTTTCTCCTTCAAGCTGTGGTGCTTCTGTGGGTTGGAGTAGACACATGTAGCTGTTTAACCCTAAGGATGGTATATTCAACAACATACCAACTCCTAGCAATAGGGACAGGCTGGTTTCAGCATCCAAAGAGTATTAAAATTTTCAGAATTGTCAAATGGTGCTGTAAATAGCCTGGTGGGGGAATATCTCCTCCATTGGTTGGCTCTCCAAGGAGAAAAAGCAAGAGATATGATTATTAATAGCTCCCATTAGATGGTTCCCTATGTATAGAGGTTATGGCAATGCTGAGAACACAGACCAGATCAGTTTCATGACCAGCAAGTCCACTGTGCCACAAGCCACCTCTATACAGTACAACAAAACAAGAACCTTAGCCCAGGCCCCAAAGGTGATAAGCAAAACAGGGAATGTATGCTGCAAGCAAGATAATGGCATAAGACCACTCTGAGAGAAGCACAGCAACTCCAAGAGCAAATGAATCAACACTGTGACCCATGACTATTCATTCAAAACACTGGAGGTTTACCATAAATTTATTTTGACACACTCTGGTCAGATCTGTCATTATCTCAACCCTCTGTGCCTCACTCTTTTTTAAGCACAGCCAGTAACAGCACCAGGTGGGATAAGGAGAGGAATCTAAAGAATATAAAATCTATAGGTTGATATACGAACAGTTTAATAGCTAAAATAAAGTAAAATACAGTGGTAATAGAAAGAATACCAACAATAACAATCACGATAACAATAGGAAACAACGAGAGAAAAAATGAAAGCTCAGAAAACACAAGTGATGCACAATACAATTGCTTACCACCCTCTGAATGATGCCCAGCCTGTCCCTCCACAGCAATCTGGCCCTTCTGGCCAACTCCCCCCAGTTTATATACTGGCATGACATGCTGTATTATGGAATACCCCTTTGGTTAGTCTGGGTCAGATGTCCTGTCTCTGCTTCCTCCCTGCTTCCCTTGCCCATTCTCACTGGCACAACATGAGACTGAACAGTCCTTGAGTGGAACACACATTACTGAGCAACAACCAAAACATAGGTGTGTTATCAGCATTGTTCTCAGACTAAAGCCAAAACACAGTACAACAACCAAAACATAGGTGTGTTATCAGCATTGTTCTCAGACTAAAGCCAAAACACAGTACTGCACCTGCTAGTAGGCAGGAAAATTACAGCTGAACCCAGGACACCCTTCTATGATTCTATGAAAGACAGGGCTTGTGCCTGCACTGTCCCAGCAGAGCAAAGCTGTGATGGGACAAGGGTGACTGGGTGGTGGGCATTGCTTGAGCCTTCCGTGTTGGAACCAAGAGGGAAACCTTGGGTTTGACATTGGAATGAGGACATAGCAGTGGTTAAGGGCATCACTGCCACTCTTGCTGCTGAGCTGGCTATGGCTTTCTTAAAGGTAGAGGTTTCATGCCCAGGTACAACAATCTGTGGTTATTGAGAGTGAAGGTTATGAATAAGTGTATCACCACAACTAGTATCTAAATCTAGCAGGAGGAAAACCACTCAGGAGGAGAAAGTCCTTACATTTTGCTTTTTACTGTAAAAATCATGGTAAGTAGTGTCAGCCCCGTAATTACTCAGATTCAGAGAGCTCGCTACCCAAATTTGGAGGCACAGAAACACATTAGTACGTTGAAAAAATATATTCCTACCTGTCATGCACTCAGCAGTCTTTTCCTACCCCAAGGTAGGAAAATCAATTTTGAAAATCAGTCCTAACAGCTTCTCTCCCTTTTTTTATTGTATTTTGCTGAGTGGTTAAAAAAAGGCGAAAAGAAAATCAGACCTTGCTTTGAAATTTATCGTTTCAAACAACGGTTTCCCCTTCTCTTAAAATAATGGTGAAAGAGAAATAAAGTGCTGAAGAGTCACTTACAAAGCCTTTTACAAACCTCAGGGAAACAGGTATTCAGTGGTAAAGAGAGAAAAGAAGTTGTATGTTTGCTGCAAGTGCTGGAAGTGATTTGTCTTTAGGGATAGAAATCCTCTCCCCATGAGAAGCTACCTGGGAGGAGGAGGTCAGCACAGTACTCCCATTTGTACTTCTGTAGTATTTTCATATAGAAACTCAAGTGCTTCTTTTCTTAGCATGCTTGTCTGAAAAGTTCAACACAGCCTCCTACAATACTCAGGGTCTTGTAAAGCCAAACATGTTCTCCTTTTTATTTTTTTCCTTCCTTCTTTTTTTTTTTAACCATAGTTGATTTCAGGACTAAGATTAACCCTCAGCCATTTACCAGACTGTACATTGTATTCATGCTTTTCAGTGTTGCTGCCTTCCCAGTATCACCATAGCATGCTGCATTAGCAATAATATTTACTGTCCTGTCAGTCGGTCAGTGGCAGCAGGCTTACTGAAATGGGTCATTTGTTATTCAGCTCAAATCACAGCCATTGAGAAATCAAGCTGGGAGATGCTTATTTCTGAACTTTTATTATCTGAATGTGCATGGGTGTCGTGGTTTAAACCCAGTCAGGTAACTTGTTCACTCACTCCCAGTGAGTGGTGCCGAGCTGACAACAATCGAGGTCCGTGTCCCCCCCCCACCGGGGCTCTCCCCTTCCCCACTCCCGGAGGAACGGGGAGGAGGATCGAAAAAGTGCAACTCCCACGGGCTGAGACAAGAACAGTCCAGCAACAAATCACCACCGCTACTATCAACTACAACAATGATAAGGGAAAATAACAAGGGAAGAGAGTACGATACCACCGGCCAAGAAAGCGAGTTCCACCCGGAAGCCCCTGTCCTTCCGGGTAACTCCCAGTTACCCCCCACCCCGTGCATGACGTGCTGTGGTATGGAATACCTCCCCGGCTAGCCCGGGTCAGGCGCCCCGTCTCTGCTTCCTCACAGCTTCCCCTCCTCCCTGGCAGAGCATGAGCCTCACAGAGTCCTTGGTCAGGGTAAACATCACTTAGCAACAACCGAAAACATCGGCTTCACCAACACTGTTCTCAGGCTGGAAGTCAAAACACAGCACTGCACCAGTTACCACGAAGGAAAAAAAACATGACTGCTACTGCTGAACCCAGGACAATGGGCTTTTAGACAAAAATGTGTAAAACTTGTGATTTTGAATAGTGAACATGACATGGGGGGGGGGGGGGGGGAGAGCTATTTATACTGGTTCTTTCAAATGAAGTCTTACCCAACTATGCCTTTTTTAAAAGTATGCAAATATAATTTACGTGTTCTCAATTTAAGGTCCTTTTGATGGTGTTAGAACAAAGTAAATAAGGAATCTGAGTCAGCTGTTATACTTGTAGACTTAGATTAATTCTGTATGGCTAAGACAGTGAATATAATATCACAATGCTGTTGTGAACCTGAAGAGAGAGATCTGTGGGAATGGCATTGGCAACAAAGGTCACCAGAGAGGAAAACATTTTCTTTTCTTGTAGAATGTTAACATTTAGAAAGACGTATCAACAATGAAATGCTCTCTTCTTGAATCAAAACAAATTTCTTTTTTTAGTACAATGAAATATTCAAAGGCTTATTTCCAGCTCAGAAGTGCTGGAGGAATTCAATGAAACTTCTGATGTTTCACCAGTCGATGACCAGAGTGTGGTGGCCTTTTTATTTGAGGGTTGTTTGTTTTTTTTTTTCCTGTGGTTTGTTTTTCCCAATTTTTCCTGGAAAAATAAGATAATAATAGTAATAATAAAACAAAATAAATCTAAAAAGCAAGCAAACTTCAGGAAAATACTTAATTTTACTTTATAATTAATGAAATGCAGCCAAATGCAGTTAAAAACACACACACACCCCCCCCCCAATGCTATGAATTAAAAGAAATAAGAAAGAAAGAGCCATGTGTATGCTTTGTTAAATATGAAAACAACATAAAATACTTTAGCCATCCTTTCTGACAGGATCACTTTACCATTTTATCTGTGTTTAGGGGCAACAGCAGACTAAACTGTGATGGTGATGATAGAATTGTTCCCTTGCAAAGCAATGGACAGTCTAGCCATGCATTCATCAGGGGTCTGATTAACCTTAGAACTACTTGCTTCCTGACCCTCGTTTAGTTGAAGATGTCCTGTCTCACTGCAGGCAGTTGGATTAGATATCTATGAAGGTCCCTTCCAGCCCAAACTATTCTATGATTCTGCAATTCATAATGCTTCATAAGCCTCATAAATTTGTCTTAGCTGATAATGCTGTGTAAGACTCCTTGGATAACATGGAGCTACCAGATCTTCCCTAGCACTCTTGTGTTCCTGCCAAAGTAGCCTTGCCAGTAACGTTGACAACACCACAATGTTCTAGTTTGTTGGATGTTTTACTTTAAAGCATCTGTGAGGCTTCTTTCAGCCCTGCCTGGATAGCCGTAGGGCTAGAGGAACGTCAAAGTACCTTGTGCCATCAGAAGAGCCCTGGATATACACGTGCAAAACGGTCCTTGCTCCCTTCTCAGGGATTTATGCATGGGCACAGCCCTGGACACCCATACACCAGCTCCCAGAGTGTTCAAGACACCAAAATGACACTCAAATAGTGTCAGGCAAGGCAGGGGACTTGTGGGATGTCTCATATCCCCTGAGAAAAGGTCTCAGCGGTGGGAAAACTGAAGGATACCCTGGTTCTTGATGAGTCATGGAAGACCAACGGTAGAGCTGATGCCTGGTGGGGTTTCACATCTAATTTCCAGCCCCCTTCCTCAACAGTCCTCCCTGAACTGCTGGTGGTCTCCCTGTCCTGGTATTACATGCCCTGCAGAAGGGATTGGCTTTGCCAGGAGGGCAGAGAAGAGGCTGCTTTATCTTCTGTGGGGTGGCCTGGGCTTGCACCACTGTGGTTCTACCCTTGACAGCAATTGCTGCATTAAAGGCTTTCAGAGAAAAGCTCTTTCCATGGGTATCTTTAGAACTTGCAAACTTTGCATGATGTGGAAATGTGCTTCTGAATACATTCCAATGTTTCCAGTCATTATCAGTTTGCAGGGTGCTGTAGTCCCATGCAAATAGCTTCAGTTATTCAGCTCTGGTAAACTCTTGGCAGCCCAAAAGAAAAAAGAGAAAAAAAAAACATTAGTGACCACATTTCTTTGGGTTTTTTTATTTTTTTCCCATGGATATGTTAAGGATGGGGAAATGGCGAGGATGTGGGGAAGGAAGGGAAGGAGCCTTATGACTGCTGAAATTCAAGGGAGATGAGAACCATGAGTTTAGCTAAATCATCTTCAAGTGAATTGCTGTGAGGGTGAATGTGCAGCAGGGTAGTGCGTAGCTGTGCGCAGCATCAGGAGTTGCTAGGCTACTCCCAGCAACAGGAATGCACCAAACAATGTGCTTATATCTTTTTAATTTTGAAAAATAAAATAGGTATTGACATAAAATGCAGTGCGGCACTGAAAGTAATTTCATAGTGGAGAGATCAGAAGAAAGGTGCCTTTCATCTCAGTGACAGCAGTTTACCTCTGGTAGTGACTTACAGGCAGCAGCACCGGGACCGCTTGCTGGGGCGCCCATATGCAGGAGCATACTTGCAGCTCCTGCACCCCAGCAACTCCTGCCCCAGACTCTCATCCAAAAGCCACCAGGCAGCTGCTGCTCTCAGGCACATCAGCTGGTCCCACAGAAACTCCTGACAGTCCCAGTGATGTATGGGCATCAAGATGGAGAGGGGGGAATAAGCCATCCTTTCATGATGGAAACAAATCTGACAGGTCTAGTAGAGGCTCTTAGCTTACTGTTGTGCTTTGAGCTTTATTACCATAGTTGTTATTATTATAATTCTCCTGTTCATAGATAATGTCATAATTTACAGTCAGGCATTGTGCACAGTGGATGGTTGATGTCACTTGGGCATGAATAACCCTTTCTATAGAATTAATAATCGATCTTCAGTGAGAAATGCCTGGGGAGGGGGAAGAATGGGGGAACTCTTCCACAAATACAGAAAGGGGACCTACAAGAAATCTGGAGAGGGACTTTTTACAAGGGCATGAAGGGATAGAACAAGCAGGAATGGCTTTAACCTGACAGAGGGCAGATTGAGATGAGATCTGAGGCAGAAATTCTTCCCTGTGAAGGTGGTGAGGCGCTGGCACAGGCTGCCCAGAGAAGCTGTGGCTGCCCCATCTCTGGCAGTGTTCACGGCCAGGTTGGATGGGGCTTGGAGCAGCCTGGTCTAGTGGAAGGTGTCCCTACCCGTGGCAGGGGGTTGGAATTAGCTGGTCTTTAAGGTGCCTTCCAACCCAAACCATTTGGTGGTTTTATGTTATGATTCTATGATAAAAGCAGCCTTTCCTCAGATGTTGCTCTAAGGATTGACAAGATGAACTTCACAAGCCTCTGCGCTGTGCTCCTATGGTCCTAAAATAATCACTTGATGTGGGAGAAACATGATGTCTGCACGGTGGGAGGACAGAGGTCTCTGCTAGATTTCTTCCACCTGGAAAGTGTGCTCAGTAGGTTAGGAAGGATAGCAGCCTTTCACCAGCAGCAGCTTGCTTCATGGGCTCAACCACCATACAAAATAGGTTTTTAATGTTATAGATGCATCATTTATCAGAAAAACATAAGGATGGTGCCACTGGATATCCATTTGGTTGCGATTCTTGAATCAGACTCGGCTGCCGTACTTGAAGGATCAGAGAGGGGAGGACAAAATGTCCTCTTTCCCTGATCTTACTTAAAAAAAGCCACAACCATGTTTCTGTGCTAGGAGTATATTTGTTTCAGTCAACTGCAGTGTCTCCCAGAACAAAGAGGTTATCATGGAAAGCACATAGTCTTTCCAGTTTTCTGTCTAAAGTTGCCTGCATGTCCTTCAGCAGTTCCACCAGCATCTTGTGTTAGGCAACAATGGAGGAAAAAGCAGTCCTCTTGCGGTAACTCTATACTACAGTTAACCACAGCCCCAACATCTCATTTTCTAAACTGATAATGGTAAACTGCAGGGCAGCTCAGACCACAATGGCTGAGCTATAGGAAGGACTCATTTTGCCTTGATGCTTTTCACATCCGTTTTTTTAAATTGTCAGTGGGTTTTATACTCTGTACAACTGAATATGAATACAGGTTGCATTTTTGTGGATGGATTCTAATGACACTGTAAATTACAAGGGCAAGTCCCAAAAGGGTTTCAGAGCCCCAGCACAATACAAAGGTAAAATGATATTATATAATTAGTAGAGAATAAATTTCAAAGCCACCAGGACTTTGGCTTCATTTACTGAATCAGTTTCTCTAGAACTTCACATATAATACCTGAATTGTCAAAGACTTGTTGGATTCCTAAAAGAGATGTTAATTTACTTACAGAAGGGATTCTTCATGAGTTTTAAAAATTAGTCCTGTAAGGATACACTCAGATCAATAGTGCTGGCTAAAGGCAGAGCTAACTCATCTGTGTCTTTCCTGATACCAGTTTTTCTAGCTTACTCTTAAAAATTATTCATGGTTGGTATTTCAGCACTTCCCAAGACAAAAAAAACTAGTGTTGAACTCTCCTCACTGACCATTAGGTTTTCCTGATGTTTAACCTCAGTTGTGTTATTTGCAATGTGAACTCATAGGTCCATTTTAACTCACAGCAGACCATAAAAAAAAAAACAAAAAAAAAAAAAGCTCTTCATTAATCTAAGCTGATTCTTGTTTCCTTCTGCCTTTGCTTTTAGCTCATGTTTTGCAGAGCTGATCAGACTCACTACCATACTCTGCATTTACATCATGTCTATATTTCCCCCATATAACTTCGCAAATTACATTTTCCACCTTTAAATACTAGTGGCAGGTCCTCAACTGGAGAAAAATCAATATTGCTACATAAATGGAATCCAGTTGACTTGAGCACAGCAGTTACAGCTCTTTACTAGTACCATCTGTAAAGAGGGTGAAAAATATATATATGTATGACAAGTTCTTTAAATTAGATGGATAAGAAAGTACTGCAAGTGTAGGCATTACATTTTTTTTTCCTGCTGCCCCTAATTCTCATCATCATAGTAACCCAAATAAGCATAATTGGCCAATGGTGAAAACCAATTGAGAAATAAAGCCAAAAATCAATATTCATACATGGAATTTTTGGGGGTTAAATTTAGTTTGCATTTTATTTCCCAACTCACATGATGTTATGTGTTGCAATATTGGTTGCACCCATTCTTATTAGACAATGCCTTATGCCCCTTTTTTCCTGTGCACGTCTGATGCCTACTGAGTTCTAGTACTGAGGGAGAAAACCCTGCTTAGATAATTGGATACAGGCAGCAAGACAGGAAGAATCAGCTACAGATCTCACCTCAAAGTGGTGGTGATACTGATCCAGGCATGATGAGAAGAGCTATACACTGCCTTAAACCACAGCTTGCTCACTGCGTTCAGAAGGCAGCCAGGTACAGGACTGTGACTCCTCTTGGTAGAGGAGTTTCTCTTCTTCTCATGCAACCCAAGACAAACCAAAAATATATTCCTTTTTTTTTTTTTTTTACAAGTAATGATGGATTAGAGTCACATTGCACTGCCAGACCTTTCCTTGGAATATCATTGCTATAAACTTTCCTTACGTCATAGAGGTGTACCAGTATTGGCTGTTAAGACTGCCAATTTATGTCATATAATTCTGGGATGCCACCCAAAAATTGACAGACAATGAAAGCATCAATTTTTAATCCCTTCATTTATTACTTACTGTATTTCTCCAGCACTGGTTTAATCTTTCTATTCAGATAAAAGATAATTTGAAAACATTTTCTAGAATATGGAACATTAAATTATAGCCTAGAGTACAGAAAATCAAATTATATTCTAATTTTACAATACTTGTATTAAGAACTCAAATAATCTTGCAACATTATTTTTTTTATTAGATATATAAGATAGAATTACAGCCCCAAGTTTTAAAATAAAATGTTGCTTTGTGTTGCTTTATTTCTGGATTGGTTGTTTTTTGTTTGTTTGCTTTGTTCAATGCTTTAAAAGTGCTTTTCTAGTCTTAGAAGAGCATTTGCAAGCATAGTACCATGGGATGCACATTTTTCAACTCTCTATAATTTCCAGCCCCAAATCTGGTGACTCTAAAAGTAAAAAGATTTCTTTTTATCTCTTGTTATATTCATCTCTTATGTTATGCTTGACTTGTTCTTTGCAAGAAAGATGCTATTCAAGGCAGCTGAGGTAAAGGGATATAACTTTCTTTATATGTTGATTACTTGTTTTTCTACCTTTATTTTCTTAAATATCCATGGTCTGTGAAGAGACTGTATGAGTTGGTTTAATCTTTGGCACCTACAGAGCATTACCAGGTTTGTAGTCAAGCTGCAGTACTTGATGTTCTTCTCCAAAGAAGTCTTATGTGTAAGGTGAAGGATTTGTACCATCTGAAGATTAATCAAAGCTTGTGTAGTGCCTACAGAGTAGTTTCCAAGTAGTTTCCAATGTTGTTGCATTGCACAACAGATCCTCACTGCTTTTGTTTTGCTATTGTCGAGGTAGAGGGTCACAGTTTTCTTCTGGTACAACAAAGAACAGAAAACCAGTGCTGACTATGCTGGGAAATCATCTCATCCATCCTGTGTGTTTAACTCACCTGCCCTCTCATCCTACTCTATGTAACTCGCCAGTCCGTACAAACAAGCTAGTGGCATTTTACCACTAGCAGTTTATGGGGGAAGCATTTTTCTCCTGCAGTGAAGGAATATATTCAAGACCAAGCCAAGCCCAACACCTTTTTTCACCCATAACCTACTCTAATCTTTCTTGTGCCAAAGTCCAAAGGAGGACATTGCAGTCTTTAATGAGAAGGTTACAAAATTAATTCCAGCTATCTTACCATAACTGCGAATGACTGACTAATTCCATTGCCTCCAAAGCAAATCAACATAGCTAAAAACAGGACATGTCACAATATGGGCATGCAGTGAGAGGATTATAACACAACGTTTTCTTCTTCTGCCTTAACCTGCAAGTCGTCCTGTCGTGATTGTGAATGTAACATTAACACAGCTGGCACCAAAGCCAATTATACCAACCTAAGCAAGCTAAGCTTTCCTTTCCAGACAATTTTCCATCACACTTTTAATAGAAGTTGCACAAGACCTGCTCTCTGTCCAGTTTGCTGTGCAAATATGTGTGCTGCAAATAGAACGGACATATGGCAATACCTCTGCTGAAGGAGCCTCTGAGCACCACGACCACTAACAGAGGCTAGAGGGAACAGACAGATTTGTGTATTAAGAGATGCACCGTACTCTCCTCCTACCTTTGTCAACCACTGCCCACCTGCATGAGATCCCCTTCCAAAGCAGACCCATACTTGTCGTCCTGCCAGAAGCACTCAATAGTCATGAGAGCAGTAGCCCGATAAACCTTTTCATCACAGAAATATGCAGTATTTACCAGCATGAACAAGAATATGCTTTGTCTTTTGGCTTCAGGTCCACAAGGAGTAAACTAGCATAGCATCTCACGCAGAGCAAAAGCAGGTTTAAAAGGGAGGTTTCCAGTTTAGAAATGGGATTGACTTTGCCTTGCAGTTCTAAACTCTCAGCTTTCCCCTTGTAAAAGTCAAATACGAGCTTACCTAGCAACAACACACAAGCTGTACCTACCCATAAACCATCTCAGTGAAGCTTTTCTGGAGCAAACAATTACAGCACTGTGATTATTAGAATGTCACACTCACTCAGTGTGAGTGCCCTACAGAGAGAAGCCTAAATACTTGTTCACATGCATCTGACTACACCAGGTATGTATGCAGAATTTCCTCCTTCATTTCAGCCGGAAAGTTGGTTTCATAATGCTGTTCATCAGTTCCTGAAGATTTTAAATCTCTTTGCTGTCAGGATTGCATACATTATTGCTCCACTTAACAGGCACACATTAGCATCACAACTGCACCAGTGTTGTAGTAATACCAGATCCTGTGAAATAGGCTTAATAGAACAACAAACAGGAAACACACAGAAAAAAAATGTATGTAAAGATACACAGTGCAGGTCTCCCGTGGTGAGTTTATTAGGTTTTTCAAAGGCAATAGAAGATACTGTGTAATAGATGGCCCAAAAGTGACTATAAAGCAGTAATCTATATGAAGGGCTCTGCTCATGTCATTAGCAGTGATGGTGCAACTCCAGCAGTTTAAACTGAGAATGAATTCAGCTGCAGAGGTCAAAATCAAGGATTAGGTTCCCATTCTAGTTATACCCAGTGATGTTTCCCCACTTCTGCATCCTCCATCATGCAATAAATGAGCAAAATTAAGCACATCACAACATTAAAAAAAACCACCCACAAGCAAGAAAGAGGCTGTTCTGCCACCCTCTCTGGTTTTATTGTTTGCAAATCTTAGGTCTGGACCTCTTCTCAGTTACTGTAGGTGAAGCAAAACATCTTCAGGACATGCTGGAGTAATACAGAAAGCCTGAGTCACTTAGCTGACCACATGGTGCACCCCAGCTTCAGGACTGGGTCTGCAGTAAGTATGGCTCTTAGCTATAGTGACAGTAGTGGGCAGAACAGCCTCCAGATGGGCTGATCTACCCAAATCTACTGGTGAGTCTCTATTGCGTTGCTGAAGCTCAACAAGTAACAGCACTTAAAGTGGCTGGTAAAACTCCATGTCTCCATACACCTAAGCACCCTCTTTTCTGCTAGGCATTGTAGGGCTTGATATATGACAGTACGATTTACTAATGATGAATGAGGTATTTAAACCAGTGTGAAATAAAGCTGCCATACACAGCACTGCCCTATCACAAAACTTAGGAAGGGCAGTGATTGCTTGCTGGTGGAGAATATCCTTGGGCCATGGGAGGATTTGCTGGGGAAAGAGCCCAGAGCTCTTTCAGGGATGTACTACATCCCAGACAGGATTCATGGTAATCTGAGTTTCTGTGGGACAATAATGGCCACGTTTTCCTTAAAAATGAGACACAGGTTTTGCCCTCAAAAGTACATATATTATTGAGATGCACTGTTCATGCACACAGGCAGGGGTACAACCATGCTCACCTTAGAAAGGAACATGGTTTTCATAGTACACAGCTGAGATATATGCATCCAGTTTTCATAAAGATTACATGTGAAAACTGAAATAAAACAGACCACAGTATTCCAAAGATACTGCAGGAAAAGACAGAGAGGTACTGGGCTCAGAGTCCTTTACTCAGTTACAATAAAAATCTCAAATATACATTCTTACACAACTTTCTGCAGTCAATTTCAAGGCACAAATGATGACAGAAAGTATTACAAATTATAGTGGTGGAAATCTCCTGGGAAGTTACACTAACAAAGGCAGGGGTAATGGGCATAAATACTGTCCATAGCAGTCAAGACAGTGCCAACTTCTCACACTTCACATTTTGCTTTAAGCTGATAAAACTAAACAAAATGGATACTGGTCTTTGTAAGGGAAAAAAAAAATAGAAAAAAGCCATAGAATGGGTTTTGCAGGGAGGAAATATTTAAAACTTAGACCAAATGGACTAAAGAAATGGTCAATAAAAAAAAAGAAGTATTCAGGATGTAAAGGCAAAGCAATGGGATCAAGGATACTGGTGAGAAAACAGTTGAGGGTAACAGTGTAAGCAGGGGAAAAATAAGTACTGTCATTTAGGCGACATAGGAGAACAGTCTGCCCAAATGCTATGGGCAGAACAAAGAGGGATCAAGACAGACCTCAGAGGGATCAGTATGAGATGAAGAAGGTATTAAGAGGAAAGAGGGAAAGAAGAAACAAGGTGGGAGTATAGTGAGTCAAGGAACCTGAACCAGAGAGGACTTTGGGAATCTCCAAGTACAACAGGGGCTGAAATCAGAAAGAGAAAAGGCTGTAAAACAGAGATGAGAGGCAGAGATCTCCTTTCAGATGGTGCCCATCCTTCTTGCAGGGAGTTAATAAAACCCCAAGCAACCTAAGGGCAGATTCTCCTGGAAGACAACAAGGTGCTTGGTGACAGCCAGCATGGCTTCACTAAGGGGAAATCCTGTGTGAACTATTTTGTGGCCTTCTATGATGGGGCTACGGAACTGATGGACTGGGATAGAGCAATTGACGTCATCTACCTGGACCTGTGTAAAACATTCAACACTGTCCCGCACTACATCCTTATCTCTAAACTGGAGAGACATCAATTTGATGGATGGACCACTTGGTGGATAAAGAACTGGCTGGATGGCCGCACACAAAGAGTTGTGGTCAATGGCTCAATGTCCGGTTGGAGACCAGTAATGAGTGGCGTCCCTCAGGGATCGATGTTGGGACCGGTCTTGTTCAACATCTTTGTCGCTGACATGGACAGTGGGATTGAGTGTGCCCTCAGCAAGTTTGCTGATGACATCAAGCTGTGTGGTTTGGTTGGTACACTGAAGGGAAGGAATGCCATCCAGAGGGACCTTGACATGCTTGTGAGGTGGGCTGATGCCAGCCTGATGAAGTCTAACCATGCCAAGTGCAAGGTCCTACACCTGGGTTGGAGCAATCCCAGGCACAGCTACAGGTTGGGCAGAGAAGAGATTTAGAGCAGCCCTGCCAAGAAGGACTTGGGGGTGTTGGCTGATGGGAAAATGAACATGATCTGGCAGTGTGCACTTGCAGCCCAGAAAGCCAACCTTATCCTGAGCTGCATCAAAAGAAGCATGACCAGCAGATCGAAGGAAGTGATCCTGCCCCTCCACTCGCTCTCGTGAGACCTCACCTGGAATATTGTGTGCAGTTCTGGTGTCCTCAACATAAAAAGGACATGGAACTGTTGGAACAAGTCCAGATGAGGGTGACGAGGATGATCAGGGGACTGGAGCACCTCCCGTATGAAGACAGGCTGAGGAAGTTGGAAGTGGTCAACCTGGAGAAGAGAAGGCTACGTGGAGACCTCATAGCCACCTTCCAGTATCTGAAGGGGGCCTATAGGGATGCTGGGGAGGGACTCTTCATTAGGGACTGTAGTGACAGGACAAGGGGTAACGAGTTAAAACTTAAACAGGGGAAGTTTAGGTTGGATATAAGAAGGAAATTCTTTCCTGTTAGGGTGGTGAGGCACTGGAACAGGTTGCCCAGGGAGGTTGTGAATGCTCCATTGCTGGCAGTGTTCAAGGCCAGGCTGGATGAAGCTTTGGGTAGTATGGTTTAGTGTGAGGTGTCCCTGCCCGTGGCAGGGGGTTTGGAACTAGATGATCTTAAGGTCCTTTCCAACCCTAACTGTTAGTAATAGGTGAAAATGTGCGTTGAAAAAATAGTACAAAGAGAAAAGATGATTATACTTGAAAATCTGTTAATCAGTAGAGGGTTTCTTTGTATTAAGAACAAGCTGAAATTCTGCTATTATGTATCTTAGTCACTTTA